CGTCCCCCCGTCCCCCCGAGGGCGACTGGGGTGTCGGACCGGTCCGGTTCTAATGCGGCTTTTGTGGCAGGGGGGGACGTACGTGCTGCAGCTGATGGATGTGTACGGAGGAGGGACGGGGGGGGAATGGGAGGGAGGCCTTACGTGAGTGACGCAGGGGAGCCCGAGTAGGTAGCACGCCGCCGCCGCACCGATCGTGAACGCCAACTTGTGGTTCCTCAGCTGCTGGAACTCGTCCGACAGGCTCGTCAGCACGTTCTCCAGAAGGGCGAACTGTCCGACAAACGATCCATTTTATTCTGCGAACGATGGCGCGAAAATAAGGCACTTACCAATTATCGAATCCCATTACTTTTTCAACCATCGATATAAAGAGTGACATTTCTTTCGAGCGAGTTCTCCTGATTGCTTTTCTCGGAATGTCTTTTTCAATAAATTCTTTTCTCCCCCTTTTCATTCAATATTCTTGTCTTGTGCTTCTTGGTTGCCTAGTCGACTAAAGACATGGTGTCCAAAAATGTCAGATGCCGCATTTATCGTGTGTGATGTCCGTCACACCGTTTTTATTATTATTATCAATTGGAATGGAAGGGAAAGAAGGTGGGAGGAAGGTGAGAAGAAGGTGGAATATTACAAGAAAGCCTTAAAAACCAGAGATCGAGAAGACCTTTGACCCCTTTGGCATTTAGAACTTAACTTCTTCTGGGATATTATATTTCATATTGACAAGTTTAGGCAAATCGGATTCCGATGGCTTTCGCAGGATCAACACGGGGAATTGATGATCCTATTCCACAGCAGAACTTCCATTGAATATCGTACGAAAAATAATTCGGGGAGGTTGGACACCTCAAGGAAAAAACACTTATTTGTATGCACCTGAGAATCAAAATAGAATATTTGTGGCTTCGATATACAGTAAATTTCGGGAACACCGGCTTGCATTGTAATTCTCGAGAATAATTTAAGGAGGGAAAATCAGAACCACAACGTTTAACGATCTTGGGGAGAAGAGGAAGATCAGCTGAGAAACTGGATTGTCCCCCGGGGGACGAGACATTCGATTTGGCATGGCATCTGCAAATGGCATGCGCTGCAAATGGCAGTATGGATTTTGCTGAAAAAGGTTGAGCTGCGTCCTAGAAATTTTTTTGGTACGGGTTCGCTGTACTATGACATAATGATACACACAGCTAGATTTGCCATGACGTAGCGCGAGGCTGGAAAGGGGCAAATAAGAATTCGCTTGGCAACAGTTCAATGGCAAAGCGACAAGAATTGTTAAAGTGTGAATGAAAGGCCGTGTGTGCAGAGGAGGGCAGATTGGCACGAGCGGCGGGGTGGATGCTCGACTGCCTCATCGGTGTCCTCCCAGATGACATCGTCATTCCAAGAGGAGAGGAACCCTTTTTTTGCTCATGACAAGGGAGTGAGGCATAGTTGACGGTGAGGGTATGAGAAAAGACGCAAGGGCATCAGTATAATATGGTTAATTAGCGAACTGTTCATTGCAGGAGGGCAGCAGTAATAGTGTAACCTAGTGGTCTCAACCGATGGGCCGCGGCCCATCGGTTGAGGTGCTGTGGGTGGGCCGTGACAAGTATATGTAAATCTAAAAATAGGGATTAACAGATAGAGGAACAATAATTGTATGGCTTTTAAGTCTGTAGTGGGCCGCAGGATCGAAAAGGTTAAGAACCACTGATGTAACCGGTACGAGGAAACCTCTACGTATTCATTACCAGGTAATGCAGGACGGTCGATTGAAAAGAAATATGCAACGGCGCTTGGAGACGAGTGGGGAAGATTAATTTTTAGCAGCGCTACTTTCTACCTAATCTACAACGGAATTCAACCATTAAATGTCCCAAGTTCTTAAAACTTGGGACATTTAATGGGAAAGCAGTGAAACTTGATATCTGATGGAAAACAACTCAGACTCGAAAAAGAGAACCAGGAGCTGCGAGAAGGAAAGAACCGATGAATCCCATTCCCCCTCACAAATGAAAGGAAAAGCGAAGGAAGCAGACCTCGCTATCGAGCCCAAGAATGAACAGCATGGCGAAGAAGAGCACCGCCCAGAGCTGCGGCAGCGGAAGACGCAGCAGCGCCTCCGGATACGCGACGAACGCCAGGCCCGGCCCATCGCTCACCACCTTCTCGATCGGGATGTCCAACTCGTACGCCTTCGCCCCCAGGATGGAGAAGATGACCATCCCGGCCATGATCGACGTCGCCGTGTCCAGCACGCTCACGACCATCGCATCCCTGGACGACGCGAAAGCGATTCGAATCCGATTCTCGACCCGCACACCGACATCCCCGAGGAGACTCACCTGTAGACGTCGTTACGAAAGTCGTTGTAACTGGAGTACATGATGAGCCCTCCCATGGAGACGCTGAGAGAGAAGAACATCTGACCGGCCGCCGCCCTCCAAACCTGCACACCCGAAACACGATTCTCATTCTCCCTCGTTCTCGGAAGATGAAGCGAACGAACAGGCTCTGCAAGTCCATTAGAGGCCTCTTCGCGGGACAAAAGACAATTCCATTCTGCTCGACTACCGCTATTTATCTCTTTCTCGGGTTATTTTCTTCACAATGAGAGTCGATCGGGGCCCAAGACTCGATGCCAATATGCCTTACAGCTCGTAACGAAAACGATCCCACGACCAATTTCCAACGCGGTCGAACGATGCAAGGGGGAACAGAACGATGGTTCCTCGTGTACGTGGTGGAACTCCAAAATATGTCGGTGGAAGAGGGTCGTTTAATTGTTTGAAAAAACGGGTCGACAAAAATATCGACAGAAACTTATGGAAACGAACCAAAAGGGAGCAATGAACTCCAGCGCACGATCGATGCCGCGTTCATTAAGATCTAAAAAAAAAATTATAATGCGTCGCTAATTAGGTTTCAGGTTTCCAGTATTAGGCTAATAAGGTTTCCAACGACCCTCGGAATTCCCCAACCTTTCCGCGAGCGAAACGGCCCCGACTCACGTTGATGTCGAGAAGCTTGTCCCACGACGGAGTGATGAAGTAGAGGATCCCGCCCATCGCCCCCTTCTGCAGCAACCCCGTGATCAATAGAGTGATGAGGATGACGTAGGGGAAGGTCGCCGCGAAGTACACCACCTGCGAGGCACCCCGAGAAACTCAGTCTCGAGTGAGTCCGGTCCGGTCCGGTCAGGTACGGTCCGGTCCGGTCCGGTCCGGTCCGGTCCCCCCGAAGCGTCGCTCTTTGTCCCGAGCGAATCGCTTCGACCGAGGCGATTCCGCGCGATCCCGGGGGATTAAGTAGGTGAGATCCCCGTTGAAATCGATTCTCGGCTCTTAAGATCGTTCTTGCTTCCCTTAAATTCCCCCGAGACGAGAATAGAAGCGGGAATCCAGCTTTTCCTGGCCTCTCGCGACCGTTTCTCTTCCGATCTGGCGTCTGTATGGGCTTCGATCCCATTCCGTTCCATCGATTCGAAGAGAGTCTCAGAGACTCACTGGAATCGTAAAAAAAAAGGAAACTCGGGATTCGCTCCAGCGGATCCAGTCTCGCAGGAATCCATTCCCGGAGGATCGCATGGATTTACGACACAGATACGCGCACTTGCGTTACATTTACGATGCATTCGTAAACGAAGATGGGAAATTTCCCTCCCTTTCAGTGGCGTAGGGAAGGGGAGGGGGGTTGAGGGGGTCAGACCCCCCCCCCCCCCTTGGGCTTCCTGGTCAGTGACAGACAGGCATATTTCAGTCTTCCTTGGGAATTC